GAAAATCTGCAGACAAAAGAAATTACTCTTGAGAAGCCGAGAATCTCTGATTCATCTTGCCTATCTATCTAGGGTCTACCCGACTGCAATAAAACCTTTCAGTATCAATTATGAGAGAAAACAAACAATGAAAATATACAAGAAATGACTTCCTAAATTTGACTATCAACACTTTCACAGGTTCCCAGCGGGAGGTTGCTTTCGGAATCTTTTCCATTTCCAGCTTTGAAATCACTTATCTAAATTTCCGCGCGCATCAACATTTTTTTTCACCTTTCATTTCTTTCAGAGTAAATATTACTGTAAGAAAGAGCAAGTGTGGAAAATGGCGATTGGCAGCGTGTGACTTGGCCTTAATTCAATTCATCGATTTTAAGCAGATTCGGGGATTTTATAAATCCCGCTTATCGGCAAATTGTAGTGTAGAATTCCGAAATTTCTCGGTTTAATTTATAGAGGACTGATTTCAATATATCGGGGATCCGCGGTAAATGCACTTTGGACAAACCAAGAAAAAGTTCACATGACTTGCTTTTACTAAGAAAAACTACACAGTTTCACGTATTTTTTCCTGATCATCCACAAGATGTTGCCTCGGGTTAAACATAAAGTCTTACTTCCTTTGATAATCGAAATCAATCTAAACTTTACTCGATAACTTAATTATTTTTACTTGAAAAGGAAAATATTTATTTTTGTAGCGACTGATTTCCTATCCATGATCCACTCGAACAGTGGATTCGGCGACAATGTTAAGTAGTATGCTAGACATGTTTTAGTGTTTTCCTCCCAATTTGTATTATCATACAAGTGAATTTCCACTTGAAAAAACAACTAAAATTTGACTCGATTTTCTCATGCTGGATATAAGAGATAATGAAAGAATTGAGAGAGATAATTATCGATTGACTTCTGGTATTAATTTGCATTTGTCATTTCTCGTTGTTCTCATTTTTACTAATTTGATAAACGCAAAATGAGTTCGAGGTCGAAGAATCTTATACCCATGTTGGCTAAATGAGATACTCCCTCTTCTGACTTTTCATTATTTGAAATCGTACGGTACCATTTACTAAATGTCGCTTATATTGTGTATCATCTCTTAGGTTTTCTCCTTCAATTTTTTGTCACCTGATTGGAATCATCCCCTGTGCATGGATCTTGGAATTTCATCTTCTGGAGGCGAGAAAAAATGGCAATTTGACCAGTGACAAGGTAGAAGATTCTATGATATCACTCCCGGTTGTAGAACGAATGAGAATAATAATAATAATAATAATAATAATAATAATAATAATAATAATAATAATAATAATGATAATAATCATTATTATCATCACCTTTGTTCAGTGAGGGTAGCACAAAATATCACTACACGTGGCCCTCGTAAAAAAAACAAAACAAAAAAACAAAAAACAAAACAAAAAAAAAACAAAAAAAGAAACAAAAAAAATTAGAAACTAACAAAATTGCCATGTAAATAATAATAGCATTGCAGTGGATACAAAGCTAATGTAGCACAGTAAGATCGTTTTCCTAATTTTGTCGATGAATGACCTCAGGGAGGAGCAGTCCTTTATTTCATCAGGAAGAGACTGAAAAACATAAGGAAATCCTGGGGGGACCAGCCATTTTTTCTCGCTTAAGGAGGGGGGGGGAAGAATTCTGGGGAGGATCACTTGGTTTTTGAGAAGGAACCGAGAGGGGATCACTCGTCGCCGATAGAGTATAAAGGGAGGACTATACAAAATGTACTGCCAATTAACTGCCCATGAGTAGGAAGGGGGGGAAGGGGGGATCAGAAATATTACAGAACCTTATGGGGGGATCTTGTAAATTTTTTGGTGATAAAACCGAAATCCTCCAGCCCATCCCTCCCCCCAGTTGATAAATGATGACCGGCTCGTAAAGAGGCTGTTTGGTTCAAGGGACCCACTGGAACAAAGACAGAAACTGACCACACCACACCCAACTGCTAATCAACCAATGATTATTTCTGTTCTTTTGCAGCTTGATTCGAATGTGCTGATAGTTTCAGCAGAGAGGTGGACAGATCTAATAGAACAGACAACCATGTTGATGATGATTCTAGGCCGCTGGCTGCTCCCTACAGCACGAGGCATGACAAAGGACTCCCTCTCACAGCTCCTCCTTGTCAACCTAGCCATGTGCGCAGATATCATCGAGTTCTTCGACATTCTTAAACTGAGCTTCGTGAAATCTTCTCAGACGCTCATAGTGACAATTCTTTGCCTATGGACTTGGAGTTTGATGCAGTTTCCATTCAACACCATGTTAAAACTTGACATCGAAGATGAAGGGTCGGACGAGAAAAAGACAGCAAAAAATATCGGTAAAACTTTGCGGGGGAAAAGAGCAATTGCGCCGTATGAAGAGGAGATGGATATGCCAAACAGAGCTTCAATGACGTCAATAGACTTTAGGCAAGCCATTGCTGCCAAGAGAATGTCACGTGACATTCTACTGATGTCACATAACTATTCACGTGGATTACCAGCTGGTTATTTGCCAGATTTTCGGCGAAATTCATATCAGCCTCATGTAAGGGGCAATGATTATCCCGGGCCTAACACGAACCACGCCCAAGAAGGCATTTTAAATGGGCAATCGAGAGGACCTGGGCGCTTTTCCTTAGATGTGGGACAAATGAGACCGAAAGGCCCGACGGGAAATATGACGACATCAATTACGTCACCGAATCTCAGGCTTGACTTGAAGGGGCTCCAGGAGGACACGATTCGCTCCAAGGAAAAATCTGCACGAGCCAGTTCAGACGCACTGGAGACAAATGTCGATATAGAGGCTGATTCCTCAGAGGAGGAAGAAACGAAAAAGTCACGCATAACAATAGAACTGTTAGGGATTCTTATGTCTCTATTCATGCAAGACGGACCATTCCTTACCTTTCGTTTATTCATAATCGCCCAATATGGCGCATACGAGTACATGGTGATTTTCTTGACCGCAAAAAATGCGCTAGTCCTGGCGTTACAAGTATACCGGCTTTGTGTTCTTCATTGCGCGTGTTATGACCATAAGGAGAACGATTTCTCGCCCGAGAACGAGATCGATGCTAATTCTCGGCTCAAAAACGTCCAGGTAGCCATAACACACGGGGGTAATGAAGAATCCGAGGACGAGTCTATTCATGCAATGGGCTGGAATTTCTCGAGGAAATGGCGGAGGAGCTTTAAAAATCCATTTTCTTCCTCGCACTTATCCGATTCGCAAGCACATTTAGCGCCATAATACGCTAAACATGCTTAGCCATTACGGTGGAAAGAAGGGGCGGGGAAGAGACACTGTGCTCTCTGATGAGACAATTCACCCCTCCCCACCCCCCTGACGAGCTCCGGCCTTCTTGATTTCACTCCGAAAATTTGGTTTGTGTTCTAAGTTACTGAGTACTCCCTAATTTACTTGGTAAATAAAGATAAGAGCCACATATTTATACATTCATGATTGAGACTTACAGATCATGAATTCGAAATTTTTCTCTCTCTTGTTCACTGAGTTGATCAAGCTGATAAATCAAGTGACTTTTATCAACATTTTAAAATTTTATTAAGGTATTCACTGGCACTTTAACACAACTAAAGACGGCGGGCTTTTGTGACAGAAGTTTTACATGAAAATATCGAGATAGCTAATTACTTTACGAAATGGTTTCTGCATCGAATATTTGAGACTTTATTGAGAGATTACTGTTATTAAGAGCTTTAACGTAAGTTTGCTGACCGTAGTTCACTTGAAAATACAAATGGGCCATAACGCTGTGGGGAATGAAAATACGAAAAACCGAGTTTTGTGGAATTGCTTCATATTTTGGAGTTAGCCAAAGATAAGATTATGCCGTGAAATTAAAAGCTTTATGATAACAGAATTCTGTCTAAATATTTTAAGAACAAGTGATAATCCATGAGGACAATGTTGAAATTAAGCCAGTTTCCATTACCGGATTAAGATTTTTTCAGAAGCAAATTTAACGCGTTATTATAAACTAATTGGTGTCTTATAGAAGCGTCACATCAAGCGCTGATAAACGAATTGAAAAATAAAATCTTCATTTTTCACAACTATTTCTACCATATCTTTATAGAAAACAAAATCTGCAGTCTAAAACTTGTACTAAAACCGCGACCTACAAACAAAGGTTTGAAAATCTTTCACATTTGTACAATTTTGTACAGTCATGCAGTCAAACAATTAAGAAGAACGTATGCAAGTCATGCAGTTTTACTTAACTTGGGCAGAAGGTAAATGATATGGTTGCCGTCATTACGGAAGATTCGAAATACTACTTTCTTTACGCCAAAAATAACACCTTTGTTATCTTACTTACTAGCTTTTGGTGTTTCTAGCCGTACCGTACATTTTCGACGCTAAGACTTTTCGCTTTCCAACGTGGCTTTTTATATTCTAGTGAAAAATTGACTTGTAGTTCCTGAGTTTCTGGAGCAAAACTTTTAAAAATACCTTTCATGAACTGGACGTTATATTCTTCTCTTAACAGACGGACAAAGTTTTTTCTTTTGTGTTTTTTCTTGCTTGCTGCGAAATTTTCTTTTTCTCTCAACCTTATCATGCATGCAACAACATTCTCCTCCTCGCTTATGAAAAGGATTCGTAATATTTCAAGTCCTCTATCAGGAGGTTTTACATAAAAAAAAAAACAGTTGTAGGAGGTTTAGCACTGCCTATAAGTCCTTTAACCATCGTCTATTTAGCCAGCTGCGAGCTTGTTCTTGTGCACTTGTCTGGGTTTAGCTTTACGGTCCCTTCTCGGGCACAACCGCCTGTTACATCTTAGGTAGCCGCGTATGAAAAAAAAGTTATTAAAACCGCTTCCTCCACCCTCTCAATACCCTGAGGTTGACAAAATACTTTATAAACGGCACTTTCTTATCTCTTTTTCTAAGAGGCGGTTCAGGTTTATCGCTTATCACTTTCAGCGAAATCTCATTGCTCATTTAGTCTTGTTATGCAATACTCTTCCTTCTGGTGTTTCTAAGATATCGACAGTATTTCAAGTCTTCTAAGCCATCTGAACCGGATCTTGTCCCTCTCTCGTATTCAAAATCCTTTTCAAAATTTCTAGTAGATAGTTTCGTTGGTCGTATCTGGTAAATCGGGGGTAAGCGAACCGTCGGCGGGAGTCGAATGGGTTCGTCGTCGCCCTCGTTGTTTTCGAAAACCGACCCTCGCCTGCTTGCAGGCTCTTCCTCCAAAGGGTTTAGAAAAGGCTTTGATTTATCTGCCAAACGAGATTTTCCTGCCAAACCTTCGTTCAGCTTCCGAAGATCTAACAGTGATAAACTTGCTCGTCTTCGAAATACTCGCTTTTGCTCAGAACTAACTGTGCTAGTTTGAGCTGACGATTCGCTTGAAATGGATGAACGCCGTTGGCGTGTTCTTACCAGATTTTCTTGTTTCGTGGCTTCCCCTTGACCCATAGTGAAACTCGTTGCTCGGCTTCTTGGTGTTGTCATTACCTTGGATGCTTCCTCGTAAAATTGGTACGTTCCACTGCTTCCCCTGAGTTTCTCTTGATATTTCAGCATTTCGTTTTTGTCCTTTTCCATTTTACTCTCGGAAAAGAGTCGAATCTTCTCCAGTGACTTTTTCACTCTTTCCCAGTTACTATTCAGCTGGTTGTTTTGTACTGAAACTCTTCGGCCCAGATTTTTCGCTCGCAAAAGTGGCTCCTGTTGCAGCTGACTTCCTATCGGCGATAGATTCATGTCGGCGTGACAAAGTAACCAAGAAAGTACGAATTCAAGAGTTTAATATTCCAGTCCTTCAATTTTTACCACACACGAGCCTTTTACTCGCGACGCCGGTTTGTAAACTGAAAGACCCGCTCAATAACAGACGTATTTACATTGGAATGGCCTTCATCTGGTTTATTGCCCATAGAAAGTCATTATGAAAGCGATATTTTCATGCAAATTCACCCTAACAATTGCTTTATTTCAAGGAATAAGGTATTTAAGTCCAATGTGTTAATGAAATAAAGGAAGGCGGGATGGAATCGAATGCTATTCATATCAAGAGAAAAACCCTGGTTGGTAAACAAAGGCAGGTGCATACTTTAAGAGCTATTTTTGTCTTTTACACATGGTACAATAACTAAAGTGTTAAGCTCTTTTTCCTGTTGTCACTTTAGCCAGAACTTAGTATGCTTAGCACAACGTTTGCAGAAAAATTCATAACAGACATCACTCTGCTCCGAAACCCTGTTGTAAGGTAATACTGATCGAATGTGCGCCGGCGTTTTTCGCCTAATTACACATTTTCAGTTAAGTTTTTGTTCCCGTCACCAAGTCTCTTGATTTAATTCACAAAAGGTTGTTGATAATTACTGTAATTTGAATTTCATTGGCTTCTTGCTGATTAGAACTAAACTTACAAAAGTTCAATGCCACTTGTTTCCCTAACAGGTCTAAATAACCGTTATACCTTTTACCATTATAATTGTTGATATCACCCGAACCAGATGTGTTTGTTAACCTGGTGCATTCATACATGTCGTGGGTCCAAAATCACAATTAATACTATCATTGTTGCAATTACAGAACCGCTCAATGAAGTTGACAGTCTCGACTCTAAACTCAAGGATCGAGGCTTGGGTGTAGAGTCGATACTTTCTACTTACTATTTAGCGGTTCTCTTTAAAACTTCCTTTATTATTTCGATCTGATGTTAAATTATTCTTTTTTTCCCTTCTCAAGCCCAGTTTTAAAGTGGTATTTGTTATTGCTATAGGGATCGTGGTGATGGTTGTGGTTAAGCTGTCACGTGACGAGCATGAATCATGAAGCAATCAATTCTTCCCTGCGTCACCTGATCAAGGCCCAGGTTCCGACTCGCTAAGATGAGAAATGGTAAGAGTGAAAAAAGCCCATATAAACTAACTGGCGATCTACAAACGTGAGTTCAGAATGAATCTCTGATACTTCTGTTTAAAAGCGAAATATAAGCTTTTAAAAGTTAATATCCACAATAAATATGTTAAATAAAAACTGATGATCACTTTATAATCTACTCACTGCGATGCTAACCGCAACTAGTGTTGACATAGTCTAGAAGTGTTTCTGTCACCGTCCGCTTTGAGTCAACAAAACAGTTAAGAAAAGGCGCGCCTAGCTGATCAAGGGAAATATGGCTGGCAGTTTTTGAATGATGTCAAAAAAACATTGATGAGAGAGAAACAAGATCCGTAAAAGTAGGATTATTATGGACGGAAGCCGGTAATTTGTCAAGGGGCCAATAGGTATAGGAAGGAAATTAGCTAGGCCAAACCACGTATGTCACAGGACCCCCACTTTCCACTGTCCATCGCAGCAAAAAGGGGACCAAAAACGCAGCTGAAAAGAACGAATTTTTCAATAGCAGCTAAAATCAAATTTATTGCCAATCAATTACAAGGGCAATTTATACAGCTTTACAAGGGAAATATACAAATATACAAAAAGATCACTATAAGGCTAGTTCAATATTTTCATTTCAGAATTGCTGGCTTGTATAAACATAAATCTATTTCATCTATCATCTGTCAACTCTAATCAATCAATCAATCAATTAATTAATCATTTAAAGTTAGACAAGCGTTTTGACTACTGCAACAGAAAGGCAAGGCAAATAAGAATGTATTCATAATTCAAAGCAATAATATGAAATTAACTCTTAAAAAGTCTTAAAAAAAAACAAAAATTTTGTGTTGACTGCATTTTAGTTGAAGTTAAACTTACTTGATTATCTTCTTGACTGATAATCTACACTCCTAAACATAATCATACCCATCACAAATTCCTCAAATGTTATCGGTGGATTACTAGTTTATTTTTAACTCCTTTTTCTGTCAATTGTAATCAAAGTATAATTGGATGGTTGGCTGTACTCAGACACCTGTGATTGGACAGTAAAGGCAGCCAATTATATCAAGTCCACTTTGCTAAATCCACCAATCACAGGATTGATTGCAATAACAATAGCAACAACCACTTGCCCAACAAAACTAGGTAATTCACAAAATGGAGAAATTTTTTGCAATGTCTCTACCAGACATATTTTCTCAAATAAATGTACATTTTTTTTGGAAATTGTAATGGTTATGAATTATTGGTAACATGGATTCTTTTTGTCCAGTTCGGTCTGCAATCATACTTATGTTTACAAATCAGACTTCCACCTAATGGTCTTCCAAGTTTGTAATCACTTGTATGATGACAGACAGAATTAGACTCCATTCTGTCCTATTACCATTAGTTATTTGTTGGGACACTTCTCTGTAATAATATCTATGATAGTCACCCCTCCCCCTGCCCAATGTTGTTAATTGCAAATTGATGTTTCTACACCATTCACTACCTATATTTCCATGCCATAGCCTTCCAATGCTTCTATACCATTAACTGCCAATGTTTTTATGCCGTTAACTGCCAATGTTTCAATTACATCTTGTGGACCAACACTGAGGGTGGCAGGGGAGGCAGAGGTGTGCCAACAATTGTGTTTGGGAGTATAGTTCCCAAGGAATAAGATTAAATAACAAGAAGAATTTAAAACTTGATTATATCAATACCATGCCAATTGCTGGAGAGACACTGAGCATTGCCCACTGAAGACTATCAATTTGAAGCTCCATAAGCTAAAAGTTGGTAAAATGCTTGTACCAAATTTCAGTTAAACTTCCTAGTGGGGAGAATTAACAATCAAGTCTTGGGAGTTGAAGGGTTAAGTTAAGTAGGGTAAGCAACCTTTTCACTTTCAGAAGAGATCAGCAGTGAATTTCTCCTTACCTAAGCGTGCTCTCAAGCAGAAACACAATGAGAAGCAAGAAATTGTCATCAAGGGATATTACTTGACTCAATAATTAATTTGAAGAGCCTAGCTTGTAGATAATGCATGGAAGACATTGGGTAGAACTGATAATGATATCTAAGGAGTAAAGTGACATGAAACCGAAAAGAGAAACAAGAATGGAGAAATATTGGGAAAGATAGAGATGAGGAAAGATGAAAAGATCGGATGAAACCAAACCCTGACAATCCCAAGCCTTTCAGTTAATACAGGGGGCTTTTTGATTAATTTACTTCAAATGTCTCCTTGATGTCCTCATGTGTTATGCACTTCACAAGAAATGGTGCAATCTTATAGAATTATCAAAACACAATTTTTTTTGCTGTCAAAAACAAAAAGCAATATTACAATTTTAAGAAATAGTCCTATTTTCTGTAAAACAACAAAGTCTTAGAATTACTTTAAAATTCTATTTGTCACAAGCACAGACAATGAATGTTGCTAATAAATTTTGATATCCCCCCTCCCACTCCACCAAATAATATATGACTCACGGCCTCTTTTTACTCACACCTCTACTCACTGTCCTTGATTAGGTAACTGTTAGTAGGGTGGGAGCAATAATTATACTTTGGGAAGGGGGGGTAAGTAAACTATCCTATTAAACTTGATGCTACATTCTTAGTCCTTGCAGTCGTAAAGTCTGAAAGAAAGTTCAAAACAGCAGTTTAGTAAAACCCATGAAACAAATTTCTTCTAAAAGTCAATCAACCAAGAGTTTATGATTATAATCTTTTTTTATAAAAGTTTTTCTGATAAGAGTTTGGATGATAAAATGGAGGTTATTAAAAGTTCATTCAATCTGTAATGAATTTGTGGAAATGCATTCACACATGACACACAAAAATTGTACATCATATATCAATGACCTCCTCCAATCAACCCTTGAAAATCAGTTATTTCATGCAGCACAAAAAATTTTGAATGATATTTAATTTCATTCAGAGTATCATTACTTCTCTCATTACCTTTGCCTTATCACTTTGTTCAGTCCCTCCTGCCCCTTGTTCTTGTGAATCAGACACATCTCTTGACACAACACATAAAAATTCTGCTTGATCTTCACTACCATAGTTGTAATTACTGCCAACACTTATTAGCTGGAAATGAAGATATATATCACAAATTTGATGAATTAAGGAAAAAAAATCTATACTGTTTTCCTTCTATAGGTATGCGCTTAACTTTAAAATCCCACCTTGTGTTAGAACCAGTTTAAATTTTTCTTTTACACCAACAAAAAAATTCACTTATTCTTGTTTCTTATAGTCACTGTGAAGATATCCTTCACGGCTGGTTTTTAATAAGTGAGAGATTTGGAACTAGAATCAAATCTGGAGTGGTAAGAATGCTTGTGACCTTGTGAACACCTTAAAATCAGAGATAATGTATAACTGATGGCTAAATAACAACAGCGTGTGGACATGATGGTTACTGTTCGATTACACCATCCAATTACAAGCATCACGCATACACTGTCCTATTAGTGCTCAAATTGGGTTGATGATAACCAATCATATTCAAGAGTTTTGTAGTAATTTTTATTAAGATACTTGTATCCATGCAGGTAACTGTTTGTTTCTCTTCTTTGTCATTAATTATGGGATTTGAACCCATGACCACTGCAATACCAGTGCAGTGCTCTACCAACTGAGCTGGTCATTCTGCTGGTTCTTAATAAACCAGTGAAGTGATGAACCAACAAATGAAAATCATAGATGTTAACTGCGGTTTTTAACCCTTTAAGTCCCACTAGTGACCAAGACAGAATTTCTCCTCACACAATCAGTACAATATCAAGCAGACAAGTAATAAGAATAAAGAAAAATATCAATTGGGGGATTATTGGTTATTCCAATTCCAAATTCCCCAAACTAACATCATATGAATTGTTTGGCAGACAGTAAGGAGAATTACTTATGAGATCTTGGGAGTTAAAGGGTTAAGAAATGAAAATGAAAGTGATCTTTGCAGTAATGAACACCAGTTAAGCAGTGATGGGAGGTCATGGGTTCAAATCCTGGACAGGACACAATTTTTTTGGGCCTTGTTTTCACTACTGCTAAAATATTGTTCACATCAAAGATGGACTTCACCCATTCCTATTTCCATGCATTACAAATCTCTGTGGTAAGCACATGTATTTTCTTACACATGCTAGAAATACTCTTGTACATCAAGTAACCAACAAGCAGTAATTAATATTGCCTAGCTTTTATCAAAACCAAAACTATTCCTTATTTTACAACTAAAATCAGCTCAGCCAGGGAAAGATTTATTTAGCAAACTAAACAAACCTGTTCAAATCTCCAACCATCTGACATTGTAGAAACCATTTGAGTGAGTTCGTCTTCATGGCACTGCAGTACTCTGTATACATGTTTCTTTGATTGAAGCTGATGAGGAAACGACACCAAATTATTCATGAGGGTAAAATATCATGTAACCTTGTATCAATAAAATATTCATAGTTGAGTGTTTGTCTCACAATGTGATCACTTCCAAGTCATGTCCTTTAAGAACAGTTTCCCATTCAGTGTTGGAAAAAGCAAAACCAAAGGAATTCTGCTGGCCAATCAGAACAATGGTTTAAATTATATTTAGCCAAAAAGAGCTCAAAGTGAGAACAAGGAAACTTCTTAACCCTTTAACTCCCATGAGTGACCAAGACCGAATTTCTCCTTACAATATCAATACAATATCAGCCAGATAAGTGATGAGAATGCAAGTGAACATTCTTTGAATTGTTTTGTAGGGTTGACAATAAGGAGAATTACAATTTTTATCTGGGAGTTAAAGGGTTAAAGCACAGGAAATGCGAGTGAACAGAATTGTTTTTAGTTTGGCATCTGATTGGTTGCGAAAATGGTGAGAATTTTCTGGACCAATAACAGACTATATGAAGCCTTGTATGTTGCTTTGATTAGTCACCCTCAAAACCACAAAAGGAGCAGTAGAATGGAAAATTTGGAAAATCCCAGAAGTATAATGCCCACAACAAGAAGCACAACTTGTTTCAATGATTCACCATAAAAGAGGAAAAAGGTCAGTACTTACTGGGATCTTTTGACGTGCCTCTCTTGACTGTATTCTTTCCTTTATTATTTTAACAAGAGGGTCAATATTATAAAATTCTGCTTCTTCTAATACACCTAAGAAGAATGAATAACATTTAAATATATTGGAACCCTTCTCTAAGTAATAGACTAATGATTACAAAACTAGTTTAACTTTTTAAGGGGAACAGGTTTTTATTAAATTTCTCATTACAAAACTACCCTTAAAGCATTAATGTAAAGATCATGAGAATTATGGAAATGATTGGCAATTCAAGAAGTTACTAGATGGTCAAACAAATTCTCCTTGTCGTTACCACTAGAAATGTAGAAGTCACAGGTTTCCCTTTTCCATACATATCTGTATGTTGCTGTTAACAGATTTACAAGAATATCTTTGTATTTCATTGCAAAGCCTGAATTAAAGTAGTTGTTCTTATGTTTTCCTACAAAGTTAAGAGTGGGAAATGGTGTGTAGCTGGCTTAACTTGATGGACACACGCAAATAACCCAAAAACTCCCATGAGAGACCAAGAAATAATTCTCCTTACAATAACAATACAATATCAAACAGACAAGTGATGAAAATAAAAAGAACTACTAACTAGGTGATTAATATTTGTTCAAATACCAAATTCTCTACACTAACATCAAATGAATTCAATGAAAGACCGTAAAGAGGATTACTGATGAGATCTTGGGAATGAAATGGTTACTTTTGTTGTGAGGCTTCCTAAGCAACTCCTGTCAGCATGAAGGTAAGCTGCTGTTCACATAGCACTACAGGCTCACTAAATTAGTTTCCCAACTTTTTTTTTTTTGGGTATTTTTGACTCTTTTTCTTATTGTTCATGTCACAAATCAGTTTTGGAAGCAAAACACTTCTAATGAATAAAACAGTACTGTCTATGTATGTCACAATCAGAGAGAGCAGCCATCATTCACAACTCATGTAAATTAGTTGAGTGTCATGTAGCCATCTGTTTGGATTGAAATTATGTGTGTTAAAATGGATTGCTCTTTTTATTTGTGAAACCTAAACAGAATATTCATTTAATTTCTTTACTTCGCAGAAAATTACTAGTTAGAAAGTTGAGGGTTCCTTTCTGTGAATAAATCCTTGTAACAGACAACAGAGCTGTACATAACGTGTTCAGAGCTCACCGACTATTATAAAATGTTCCAGCAGTGCTTGCCAGAATTTCATGCTTAAAATTACCCAAGATGCAACGAAACTTTTTACTTTGGCAGATTTCCCCATTTCAAAAATGCCTAGTACGTTAAAAAAGCGATCACTTTTCGAGTTTTCTTCTAAATCCGCCGAGATCTCGTAAATACAAGTTGAAGTTTCTGCGAGTACAGAAACAGAATTGACATGGCGGAATCATACATGAATTCGTAGTTCTGCCACGACAATTGGTATAAGCATGTTTACTCTAAGAAATATTTAGTATGTATTTTGGCGTAAATTTTTACTAACCAGTGAGCCGACACTTGAGCCCCCCAATGCGTCAAGAGAGATTTTGAGAAAGGATAAAACAGCCGAAATCAACAATACTCGTTCTCCGCTGCATATAAGACTTGAATGAGTTCTGCATACGTTAAATAGACTGAATTCTTTCGAACGAAAATTAATTTAGAAGTAGCATGTTCTTTCCACGGCTCAAATGAAGACTTTTTGAAACTAGAGCACACATTAATAAGGCATTTACCAAGAGAACGTCCAAGCCCATACGCTTCAAGCCAAATGTTTACTTAGCAAAATGCCAAAAGCGAAGTGAACTTCGAACCAAGAATCTAAAATACGTTAACTTTCAATGCTCTCACCTTCTTCAAGGAGGTCTTTATCGATTATAAGTTTGCCATGTCGTAGATAGTTTAAAACAGGTCCAAAATAGCGAGGATCTCGATCTATCATATAAGCACCGCTGTCGTCCTGAAATGTCAAAATGCCTACTTGTTTAGCTGGGTAGAACATTTCACAAATTTTGACTGAAATGCGTATTCTTACCTTGTCCGAGGGTAAATCAGGATCTTCTGCACAAAGTCTATGTAAAAAGGAGTTAGGGTGTCTACAAAGCGTTTGTTTTGTCGTTAAGAAGTACGTTCCACCGACATTTAACTTCACCCAGTTGTTACTTGGAGTAGCCATCTTGTACTCATCATGTTATGAAGATGAATTCGCCGAAAGATAATAATTCGGTAAATCGTATTGATTGGTCGGCAGCTGTGCTAAAAATAGCTTGCTAAATTTAGCTTCTGTTAATTTGGACAAATTCACCTGGCTTCCTTGATCTAAATCTGTAAATTCCCAGCACAGAAAAAGCGTTTTGAAAAGAAAACTTTGCTTACGAGGGCTTCCGATGATTTCCGAAGGGTTCCGACAAAGAAGCACAATTTTCAGAACGCCCACGCAAAAAATGTAAAGCATGGCCTTTGAATTGGTGTACAGCTGCAATGGAAAATAAGTTTAAATACTCGGTGATTTCTTCGTCGGGTCCAATTTTCTCCTACACTGTCAAAACGAAGCGTCTAAAGTTATTAAAACTATCCATAAATTGACAGTGCTAGGCCATTTTGATCGATTTTTGGTCAAAAAAGTTTGTTCTACTAAAAACTTGGTCTTCCTCTAAATGCTAATAGCCAGTTGGCTGAAAGAAAGAAAAAAAAAATTAATTAACCGAGCTTTCTCTCAAAAGTTTCTCTCACTGGTGAAGGAAAAAAGTTATAACTTTCTTTGTTTAAGACTTGTTTGATCATCGATTATTTATTTGTGGAATCTATAAAAGATAATTTTGTATTCATAAAGCAGTAAAAAGAATTTTAAAATTTTGTGAATCGTGGAGTCATGCTAAAGTTCCTTCCACAGACCAAAAGATGAATTTAAAAGTTCCAATTTAAAAATGATGGCTATATTTCCTCTCACTATAAACAAAAAGGAGATGATGCTTTATTGAACTGCCTGAAATGGCTTTTTAAAAAGGGGGGAGGGGAGGGGGGGTTCCTGGTTCCTGCACACGTTTCACGCACATTAAAAAGTAACAATAAGGCATCACGAAAAATCGGATAAACGGCTTTGAGGTTCACATATCGCAAAAGGCAACACAAAAGTACAGCTCATGGGGTTTTAATTTCGTATTTCCGCTGTTCACGAAAATTAAGAACTCTCAATCCCTTATCGCGCGATATTCCTCTCCCCCCCTTTAAAAAGTATACCAGCTCAGATGAGGTTGCAGGTGAACGTCAAATGTGTGGGCATCTCTTACAGACATATTCTAATAAAAGTTTTCTCCTTCGTGCTCTGATCTATTTTTTCTCCTTCAATTCCCTCCCACTCATCCTCTCACTTAGATTGAATGTCTCTATTTTTAAGCACGTGGGAGTTTAAATCATATTTCAATTTCCCTCTTGTGTAGGTGATATTTTAACTAATATTAAACTAACGCAGCTGCTCTCATGCGACAAACAATTTTTCTAATTGAAACCCGTCGTTCGACTGTAAAATTACACGTGTGATTTCAGACGAAATAGAAACCTCCCACTTCAAATACCATTATGGAAACAATGAGAATTTTCAAGAAGATAATGAGCGAAGGGTACAATTTCTTATACCTTAAGATCTCTTCCAGCTTTTCATTAGGAATATATAGTATGCATATTTTTTTTACGTCAAGAAATAAAGGGGTTAAGTCTAAAGAAACCTTGTGCTGCGTCGGTGGGAGAGCATAACAAGGTAATTTAGTATTATCAACGGAGTTGATGATGTAAATTGGCCGCCGTAAAGAGTTCAAAAGCTGACGTTTCGAGCTTTAGCCCTTCGTCAGAGCGATTGGGAATTACCCTGAATGATCTGGAGTTTTTCTCCTTCATACAACTTCACAAAAGACTGAAAAATTCTGGATTAGATACTGCATCCTTGGAATCCAAAACTAACAGAGTGACCTGAGGTAATCATTTACGCTGCATTCAAATCGTCCTTAGAAATCTGATACTTACATATTGCAGATTTTATGAGATAAATTTGCATGATATTTAAAATTATGTGGGAATGACGTAAGAAAATGCGACTAATTACGTGAAATTGCATTTACTTCAGCACGTATAACCTGGACTTCCACGTGCCCCACCTTCAGCGTGCATACCTGCCCCACCCGTGGGAAAACTTTTTAACTTGGAAACGAGGTTTACGTTTGGCGCGTTAAATAAACTCACGAAGTGTATCTGTCGTTACTTTCAAAAAGGGAAAATACATATAGATTTGAATAGCATTTGATTTTGAAAGGAATTCACTTTTAAAACAGTCTTCAAACTTCGACAGATATGACTGCACGTCAAAAATCGCGTTCAGATCGCAGTTTCAATCTTTTATCGTTAGGTAAGATTTACCCGAGGATTTCACACTTGACTGTTACTTTTGAGTTTCATATCACTGCGAAATTGAAAGCAATGTACACATTACAAGTTGTACCAATATGTATTAAGCTTCCTGACATGCTTTGTATAGCGATTTTTCGTTGCAATTTTTTGATTAAGACTTAAGTTATCGCGATCATTATCAGTCGATGAAAATCCTAGGCGTTACTTCAAAACGAATTGTTAAGCTTTACCTAACAGAAATAACGTTTGTTAGTTTGTCAATTTTGCTTCTCTGTATTTCTGTCCAATCCTGTTCAGCTTGTTTGTTTCGGTAGTTCAAACTTTGAACTATTTTTGTGTTTCAGTTTAGTTAAAAAGTAGCTTTGAATTTTTGCACTCTGCGAAATTAAAATTTGTGATGATGCATTCTTGAAAACCTGTGACTTTCTTTTCTATTAACAGATGATACTCCTAAGAGACGCAGCACAAGAAGTCGAATTTTGACAAGCACACCTAGTGCAGTTGACAAAAGGGTTTCGGAAGTAAAAGAGAAACAATCAGGTTCTACTCGGGTAGTCAAGCGGCCAAGTACAAGTCAACAGAAAGATACATTGTTCAGCGATGATGAGGTGGATCACAGTGAGCCGTTAGTCCATTCTGATAAAAATCATAATATCGCCAACAACACCTCAAAGTTTGACGATAGACCAGAACACTTGTACGGTAAGAACAGCTACAGCTGCTTTTATTATTAATTGCATTAATTACCAATAGGTGGAGTTGTCTAAGAGGAAGGGTTGTACCGGTACTCGATAAAGTTGTCTGCAAGTATACAGGGGTTCTACGCTAATATGGAAGACTTTTCCTTTTCTGGAGAATGCCCCTTTGTAAAACCGGGAGTCTACTACTTTCATCGAATGACAGTGTCCACAAAAAATTTTGCAGAGTAAAGACAAAAGGGGGGTTTGGTTTGAGTAATTTGCCTCTCACCCAATTTTCTTTAGAACAAACCATCCCAGTTTATGATTATGTAAATCTATACCTCAACATGTGCCACCCCATCCCTTTTAAAGACCACGATCTTATAAAAGGAATCTCTTTTGGACAGGGTATCTCTTTGAGGTTTCAATCCCCCCACCCCAATGTGTGGTAGATGCTGTGACCCAGCCATCAGTGGACTGGAAGGATCAGGCCCATGATTTGGGCCCATCCCTTAATCAGGTCCTGATTATTCCATTGGGTGGCAGAACATCAGTGCCTCTCTTCACCAAGGAGTGTAATGTTATAGTGGGGAATTGTCTAGGGAGCCTAACAAAATGCTGACTGAGCACAAAATTAATGAGTTTTATATTATTAAATGTCCACCATTGCTACATGAGGAAATCACATGAATTTTACTTTTCAGGTTTAGACAATCCAACAAAAATTTTGTCAGGGGGCAAAGATGAAAGTGAGAGTGTTCAAGCTAAACCAAGATCTAAGGTAAAAAAAATTATTTTATAAGTTCTCTCAGACTTAACCCAGGAAAAATTTTGTTTCTCTAACCATTTGGCCGTGCTGCCCCACTTGTTGCAAGAAATTATGTTGAGTAGGGATTGATCCTCCTGGACTGAGGATAGATCTTAAGTTAAGTAGTACTTCAGTTGCCTTAAAAAATTTTCAGATGATCATAATTGATTATTTATTTATTCAAATACACAGCATCTCATGAAATGTTTGGTAGTTGTTATTGCTTGCCTCTGCTTCATTTTTCTGATGGCTTTGATGGGATTACTCTCAGACCATCTTAAGCAAAAGGTAACTTAAGACTCTTCTTGTTTTACCCTACCAACAGCAACTTAAGAACAACTCACAGTATGTTGCAAAGAAAATGTAAAAAACTCCTTTCAACATTCTGCATTCTTACTTCATAATGCATATTCTCCATATATTTTCTAAGGTGTTGACAGGGAGAATTGTTTAACAATGAAGGGCTTCCTTGGTTGGTGATCATTTATTTTATCCTTTTGACCTTAAGGATGTGATTTAGGGGTGAAATTATGGGAAGAAACTAAATTCTATCTTATAGTCATGCGGGTTGAAGGGTTGGGTGAAATTAATTTGGGCAATGAAAAAGAAACTTGTCCTCCAAGCTATTTATAGCTAAATGAAATTATAACCTTTTGAAATTCTCATAGAGATACGATAGATTAGGACAATGAAAAGGAACTTTTTATTAAACAATTCATATTGCTTTTAACATGCTACCTTATGATCATTAATTACTGAACAGCAACACCACGGAGATGATACAGCAGAAATCAAACTGTTGAAAAATCGTATTAGGAAACTGGAACAAGTACAATCCCGCCAGAGCATAAAAAGTAAGTAATTACAGCACAAGAGTAATTGTGAAGAAATGCCAGCTCCACTTGTCCTGTAAAGCACTTTTCCAAGGGAGGAATGGAGAGGGGTGAAGATACAGAACCAGCTGTATCTATTTCTCATATCCCTTTGAAAGGCAGGGGGGAAGGTTGGGTTAGGATACAGACAACACCTATGAAGATTTCTGTGCTTTGAAAATAAGAGTTGAAATTGGATAATTAAATTTTAAAGTGTTAATAGACCAATATCAGTAGCAACTTATGTACCATTATAAAAATGATAAACTTACATGATCAAAGCATCAATTTGATTATAAGGAAAAGTGTAATTGTTTTTCGAGAAGGGGAGGTGGGGTGTGAAAGATATTGTGGCAGACTTCAATATAACCAGAGACATTGGAGAACTTGAGATTTCAGGCTTAGAACTTTTTGGAAACAGTACCGGTTTTGACTTCTGTGAATGTATAAATATATTACAATCAATTTCATTCAACAGAGGTTTTAGTCACCACATTTCTGAGGTCATCTCTGGCTTCCTTTGATTTTATAACTACTAAAAAATGTGGTTCCTTTAACAGCAAACAGAGAACATGCTTACCAGAAAGTCTTACTAAAAGGCCAGGTATGTAGAATATTATCACGTATGCAGATTTAGTTGAGGGAACCCTCTTCCAACTCTGGTGTGTTGTATATTATATTAATTTTTATTAAGCTTGATTAGATGGCACCATATATGTGCATAAGGTATTTTCTGGGTGGAGGGAACTTATACAGCCAAAATCTTGTGAGGAAAAAGATCTCTGAGGTTAATTCTCCTAATCCTCTCTGTCTCAGCCCAGAGTAACTTAAAAGGAATTTGTATTTTTGTTATTGTGAATTAAGCTAGGGTTAAACACTCGGTTTTATATTTGTCTCCAGTCAAAAACCTGGGAAGGAGAACCTGTGGAAAATAAAATTGAAGAAGCACTTCGTCGTTGGGATGCGGACAAGATTGGTATCCCTGATTACGCCTTGGAATCAGCAGGTTGGTACTTGATTTAGTGCTGAAATTTAACACCAACCTTTCTGTCTAATTCATCATGTTCTTTATTTGGTTGGAATCACTTGAAAGGTGGTCAGATACACGGTTCAAATCATTCTCCTACCTTTGCTAATGGAGCCATTCCTCAAGTGTTAGTGTTTGGTATCCCTGTGTGGTATGAAGTCAAGCTACCAAGGGTGATCATTCAGGTCAGTAGTGGAGCAGATAGCGAAGTACTCTATGGTCTGTTCTTCGGAAGCCTTAGTGTTTCTGAGTTGGCGTGTATTTACATGGATTTCTCATGATTTTTAAGTAAAGTCACAATTTCAGGTTGCTTAGTAGAGTAATTTACAAATGAATCTTGAAAATTATTTTAAATTTTCTTGGTTAGCTTTACTTCGCCCTGTGATTGGTCCAGAAAACTCGCGTCATTCTCTCAACCAATCAGATGCAAAAGTAAAACCAATTACGCCTTGCTCACTCACAGCTAGTTCGTTTTTACTTAGCCCTCCCATTGGTTCCTTGTGCTATTTTCCCTTGCTCTGATTGGCTGTGGTGATAATTTGGTTTTGTTTCACGAAAAGCTCCAAGTTTTGGCAGTCACGCTGTGTACGTCTTAATACATCATCAGTCAGCTTGCACCGCACGAGCATACAAATATTTGTATTTCATTTCCAAGATTTGTTTTGACTTTGTTTTTCTTCGTTTAATTTTAGCCTGGAAGCACCCCTGGAGAATGTTGGGCTTTTCATGGGAGCTCTGGTTTTGTCGTGATCAAGGTTGATATCAATCGATGTTTAATTATACATTTTGACATCTCCATTTGTTATTCTTTTTTTTGCTAGTTTGTTGTGGTGAACGTCACTGTTTGCAGCTCGGTGGAACATGCAACCAATCACAAACAATGCAACAACTACAATACTACAACTACTTACAATACTACAATGCTGCATCAACGCTACAATTACGTACAATTAATGACGGCATGATGGTCTTGCAAGTTAGCTTGCAACCAGGCCCTCTTAATTAGTACTGTAGGACGCGCTTTTTTCCGCCTGCGGGAGGAGTTGAGACGAGCTGGGGAGAGATTTGTTTGCCGGGGGTCTGAAATTTCAGTGCTAGACCTTCTTGTTTTAGGCTTCATACTTTCTCGCGGGTGAAGAAACACTCGTGCCGAAATAGGGCCCGCTCGCAGGCCATGGCCAATTCAGGCAATTAAAAATAAACATTACTTACAATTCAATCGTTTACTCACAATACGTACACAGCATTCCGACTATTTATATGAAAGTTGGAACAAATAAATAACTGATAGAGAACAAAAAAATTACTTGTAGTCGATGAAATAATACTTTATATTGTTTTTTTTTACCAGCTTTCCCGTTTGATCAAACCCACTTCTTTCACATTGGAACACATGGCCACAGCTTTGTCCCAGTTTGAAGATCACAGTATTCCAAGTGCGCCTAAAGAATTCTCCGTCTGGGTGAGTAAGGAACACAATCACTTAAGCAAAGCTCGTTTCAATTCGCGGTGTCACAGATTTTCACAGAAATTATTTATCCCACATGAAGCGAATTTTCGGTGCGACTTGTCGTGTGTAAGATGGTCTGGAAACGCGCTCTACCCTCTCAACCAATCAAATGCCATACTAAGCCCAACCACGACCTGGTCATCCGCGTTTTCCCGCGCGTTTGTCGGCTTGTTTTTACGATGAGTTTTCGTTGGCTCTTTACGGTATTTTGCTCTCTTCTGATTGGCGGTCATGATTACTTTGATATTCCTTTAAGGATACTGAGTCGAAAAGCGTGCTAACATCGACAAAACCTAATCTACGTCAATCCCTCGATTGCACTTTCCGGGTCCTTAAACTATGCTGCGGTGATGTTTACAAAGCTTTTTTGAGTATGATCAGTACAGACTGACACGAATTCTCAATTAGTTTGGTTGGTTATCAACAATAAACTGTTAAAGGCACCTTAGCCCACCGCAACAAATTTTCCACGGCTGACATTTGGAGAGTGAGCTCTTCCTCAAACAGTCAGCTCTTCGAACATTCGCTACGGCGGCAACTGTTTGTTTCACTTGTCCATCACCGCTTCCCAACGGTTTCTTCATAAACTCATAACCGCGTTCATTTGCCTTTCCACAGGGCTGGGCTGATGCCCGTGGTAGTGAAAAGGTACTATTGGGCGAGTATTTGTATAGTGATAGAGGACACGCTCTTCAAAATTTTCCTGTACAGGTGAGGATAAAATAGTGCTTCCAAGTTGATCCCACTGATGATCGTTACAGCTGTTACTAAGTACTTGAGTGACGTTTTTTTTCACTTTTGGGTTTAGGCGACCACCGTACCAGAATTTCGATATATTGAGCTCAAAGTGCTTTCCAACTATGGGAATCCTGCCTTTACCTGCCTGTACAGATTTAGAGTGCACGGACTGCCGTACAAAACAGATAACTAACACACACGATTACTCAATTTTGCAAAGTAGGAACAATTTTGTAATGTAAATATAATTCAAAGTGAAAGTAAAGACTGTAAATGGGAGCGTATATTTTTGATATTGGTTTATATGTTGTTGCGTATAGGATAACCTTGATTATACTTTGTTTCTGCCAAGTTCATTAAGCTCTGTGATTGGTCTTAAATACTCACACCGCTCCCTCGACCAATCAGGTACGAAATTAAACCATGCAGATAAGGTCACGTCACGTGCCTTTCTAGATCTCATAAGCTCCTAGTAATATATTTCTCTGTTGAAGTTCGACATCGTGCGCAGATTGATTTTGCAACACTCAATCGAAAAGCGCTTTATCGAAGTAAGGTAACCAGCTTCGTACGAAAAAAAAGTATGTTATCATATTGGTATTAAAGTCTAATTAATGAGAATTTTCCTAGAATATCAACAGGAAAGCATAAAAAAAGATTGACTTGCACTTTTTGATGTAACAAAGCTAAGGCATCAGTTTTAACTGATGTTTGGCGACGTTTAGTCACTCCTTAACTGAATTTGCCTGTGAGTAAAATGTTCGAGTCAGCTTTGCATTTCCATCTACATTCACAGGCCATTTGGCTGACCGGATTAAAATGACAATTTTTTCTTCCTTTTCCAGCGATTTCAACTATCATTTGAACTGAAAATGATAACACTTAGTTGTTGTGCCGTCAATCAAGACTTAAATAACTAATTTTTATCTTGAAATGCTTTTTGAATACTTTGTGTCAATTGTTCTCTACTAACATTATCAGTTATACCGAACGAAATTAGTAGTTGCGTGGTTGGCTCCAAATTAAGTGGGCCCAGTTTGTAAACCAGTAGATATCATGATGACTTTTCAATATTTTTTGTTTTATTCTCGTTGCTAATAATCAAGTGATAGCGACATAAAAATCTGCCAAAACCCCGCGTCTCACTGTATGTAGAGTTTTAATTTAAAGCGTCCACTAAGCTTAGGTTGAATTCCTGTTTCCAGTATGGCACCTTTACTTTATAGGCTATGAGTGAAAAATCGTTAAAAGAAAAGTTGACCGCGATCCTTGAAAAGAAGCGAAACACCCATGTAGAAAGAGCTAAATACTTGTTTTATTACTGGGTTAAGGCTATACATTTCCTATAATCAAAGAGCTCTTGTTATTTGGGGTAAACAAAATCTCCTGCTGGACCCAGTTGTATGAAATGCGGATAACGCTATCCAACAGATAAATCGCTATCCGGATAGCAAAACGTATAGCGTTATCGACCGGATAGAGTTTTATCCAGTGGATAGCGTTATCCAACCTTCGAACAATCGGGGCCTGATGTTTGAGGATCGCAGTATTCCAAGTGCTCTCATAGAATTCTCGGTCTGGGTTAGTAAGGGACTTGGTCATTCATTTCAACAAGTTTTTATCCGTCAAATTTATCGTAGCATCAAATTTGGGGTTTAACAAAATCTCCTGCTGATGTTTTCATCCTTCTGCCCTCAACATTGCAAGCAGAAATTACTTATTGGTCACCCCTGATAATAAAAGAGTTAAGCAGGTGCTCGTTATAATGCGGAGTTGACAGTTTAATGGATGGCAATTTTTATGGCTTTACAATTCATCCCCAAATGTAATTTCTCGCTGGATTTGGATTATTTGACTTCATGCTCTCATACGCACACTACCACAGAGAAAAGAAAGTTGAAAGGACGCAATGAATGCGACGCTTACAACTACAGAATTGTTCTCCCGACAATTACAAAGTCGAACATCGGCAATCCGATTCGTAGAATCTTTTATGATGCTTCTTATCAATCTAACGTCTTTTGCCGGCAATCTTCTGCTTGGAATCGCCGCCATAAAAAATCCATCTCTTGGGAGATCTGTTACCAATTTGTACATCATAACTCTGGCGTTCTCCGACTTTCTTATCTCTTTGCTGGGAATTCCATTTTCAGTAGCCACTCTCATTGTTGGGCGATGGCCGTTCAATAATTTTCTTTGTCAGCTTCAGGGTTTTTGGATTCTCCTTATGTGTGCAATTTCCCTCGAAACTCTCGCCGTTACTGCTGTAAACAGGTATTTTCGAGTTGTGCATTCTCGTGCGCTCTATCAAAAAATTTTCAACGCAAAGAAAATCAGAGCAACAATTGCGATTCTGTGGATCATCGCTTTCCTCGCGCCCCTTCCTTACGTCGTTGCCGGACACGAATTTTCTTTCCATCCTGCAAAGGCTATGTGCGCACACAACTCAGAAAGCCTGCTTAAAGGCTACGGAGCCTTCTTGGTCCTCGTGTACGTAGCCGTTCCATTAATTTTAATCATAGCGTGCTATACCAGGGTGTTCATGAAGGTGCGGAAACACAATTTGAATTTCATCTTTCGGCTTCGAAGTAGTTGCAGATCTGAGCCATCGACAAACCGGTGCCTATCAGTGGACGAAGTTAACGTGACTTACACTCTTCTAGTCGTCGTGACAGGTTTTCTAGTTTGCTGGACGCCTGTTGTAGTAATCGACTTGATCGACTTTCTTAATTCAGATTGGAAACTTAAACGACAAGTGTACGTGAGTTACACTTGTTTCGCCTTCACGAGCGCTTCTCTCAACCCAATCATTTATGGCGTCATGAATCGTTCCTTTCGAGTAGAGTACTTGCGCATCTTGGCGGCCTTCAAGTTCTGGTCTTACCGCCGCAGAGGTATTCAAGTTGAAAATCGTATCATAAAAGTAAAAGAGGATGTAACTCTTGAGATGAGACAGATAAAGTAAAGGAAAAAAGAGGAGAGAAAGCAACAACACAGACACTTTCAAAACTTGCAGTTTTAATCATTATAAATGAGGAGTTTGGTTAGTCAACGAAACACTCTCTTGGGTAGATTTACATTTTAGAATTTGTCTTTGAGCTGGCTGTTGAATACTATACAATGTTTAGAATTTTTCCGTGGAGTTTCTGTCATTGTGGCTTTTTTTAGTTTATTTGGGATCATCGCTGTTAAATTATTAATAGTCTATGTTAGTAAGATAGGTTTTTTGGCTGTTGTGACATCTGGCGCCTATCCTCAATCTTTTTAGCACCGTTGGCGTCAATGTTTTTCTGACTGTGTGATGCTGGGAATCGATTAAAATGAAATATCACATAAACGTTATAAAGTATGCCTAATAGTTTTTTTCAAGTATTTTAACATTTTAAAATGCAGGATAAGGCGCACAGAATACAGGAAAGAAGCTTCAATTTGCGTCATTGAGGCACTCGTACTTATGGACGTGGTAATTTCGGCGTTTTTGTGGGGTCTTTTAGCGTGATCAATTTTAATTCAGGTGACATTTTAATTTAACCCAGGTAGAATAAATTAAGCCATCTGACACTCAGTAACTATGAAATACGCATATTACAATTGTTTTTTCTTTCGGCATCAAACGTCACCAGAAAAAAAGTTTAGTTTAAGATCGGTTCGAGTTGAAGTAAAGATATCTTACTGGCAAGCTTTTATTTCGATTTTCTTTCTTATTGACATAATGTCTTCGTTCTCTTTCTCTGATATATTATCTTAATACTAAGATCAGCTCTTTTTTAGGATAAATGTATAAATGGCATACTCTTAAAACATCACAAGGAAATAGTTAGCTCTTTTTTGGGATACGAAGTCTGAAGATCGATGGCTATTTGTGTTTCGTGATATGATTTGGGATGAAGATAAATTGAGTGCAAGCTTTAACGTCAAATTTAAAATTTTAGGGAGCATGGCAATATGAAAAGGAATGGCAAAATTACCAAGAGCATCACACTCTTACATTTCTGAATGCACTAGACACAAATCACAAAGTGCAGTGAAACAAACGTAATTCCCATGTAATGTCTTACAAAGCCATGAAGTGCATGGCATTTCATTTTGCTGCGAGGTTGTTTAGTTATGGACCACGGATGATGTAAAAATAAGGAAGGAACATAAAAAGGTGGCAGCTGCAACCTCACTCTTTGGGTCCTCTCTCTTCCTGACTCAATGACGTAAGAGAAAGGACTCTAAAAGACGTGGTTTGCCGGCTAGCTCCCAGGCCGTTACCTCACTCTTCGGAAGAAGGCAGCCTGGACCCGGCCAAGAACTAGGCTACGTCACAGTTCTTAGAACAGAAATATTCCGAAAAAGTTTCGCTCTCTTTAAGCTTTTTTGCCACGGACGACTTAACAGACAATCGTTAATTAACAATTTTAATCAAATTCGTCATTAAAAGGATTACAACTGACAACGAAGCTGGTAATTAACTTATTGGAGAGGAGAAAAATTTAAAAAGTAGCGTCATGTTTCGAAACTGTCATTTGACGGAATGAAATAAAAGGAAGAGAAAGCCTTTATTGCCCTTTTGTTTTGACGAGATCAGTGGCTTTCAACAAAGCACCTTATTTACATGCACGGATAACAAAGCAACCTTTACGTAAGGTGTGAAACGATTTAACGTAATTAATTTAGCTCTATAAGGTCATTGTATAGTCAGGCTTTGTGAAAAATGCACGCAAGAAAGAAGTAGAACAAAAAGTGAGCCACTTGAGTTAACAAGTTTCTCCCCCACGAAGCTTGGCGACGTGTTTTGATGGAAACGACGGACTAACGCAACAACAATCTATCGTAGAGATCGGTGGAAAGGGTAATATAAGCAATCAACAGGTTTATTTGCACAAAGACTTATTAAGTCGATCCTGAGTGTCGAGTAGAATCCAGACGTAAATACAGACGTTTGCATTCGTTCTGTTCTTGACAAGTTATGGCTAGCGCGCCTCGAGAGAGCTTACATGTGGAGCCTGCAGTGAAAGCTAGAGGAGCAAACCATGATTTGCGGCAGAAAAACAACCGCGCCTCGCACAACTGGCAAAAAGTCAGGCTTGCGCTGGAGACGGAAAGGAAAAATTGGGTGAAAGGAGCTCAAGATGATCGCAATAAACTTTTGAAGCAACGCGACGTGCTGCGGAACACATCATTGAATCTATCAAGTTCCGATTCGGTTCAAACAGAGGAAGGAGCCTCCGCGCAACTTAAGCCACGTCCGCTGTCTTTGAAAGATGTATACGATGTGTTGTTAAAGTCTTCTAAACAACAGCCAAACAACAACGGATCCGAAGTGAAAAGCGTAAAATCCGAACCAGCGCCAGCTTTAGACAGACGCCAATCGACTGTAAGCTTTGAACAGAAGCGAGTGGGCAGAAAACCAATCACTTTCTCTTTGCACGGACTACAGAAAGCAAACAGCAATCTGCAGAGTAAAAAACAAGCTATGGAGAAAGCTCAACAGCGGGTTCTCACAGCTGAGGATTCAAATCAAATCAAGCGACCTCAATCTGGACCACCGCCAAGCCATTTCGACTTGAACGAGGAGGAACTCAGCTTAGGACCGACGCTAAAACTTCCACCAACCCATCTACCACCCATAACGAAGGGCATCTCTTTTAAACCTCATGTTCGGAGTTTTAAAAAGGACGAAGAGTTTAAGAAGCGAACAAAAGGCGGCGAACATTCATTTGATGATATTCGCTACTGCCGATATCTACGAAAGAGAGGGCGTTCAAGGTCTGATACAACTGAACCAATGAAACTGCATCAACAGCGCCGATCTGCTAGATCTTTACCCTCATAAAGACGAAGTAACGACAAGAAATAAATTGTAATGGAAAAAGAACAAGTGGTTTGATATTGCGTCGATCGAAAGTACTTTTGTTACGAAAGGAGGCTGTTCATTTGCATTCAGGTCTTGCGCCTTCTCATTTCACGCTCGACACAAGCCATTGCAGTTTTCTTTAATCGACGCCAGGTTTTTGGAAGTTCACAACACGAAATAACGAGAAAGAAACAAAAGAGATAATGCGCCTTCTGGCAAAATAAACAACGATGAGGAAGATCAGGACAAAGGAAACAGGAAAACGATGTTATGAATTTTTATTATGTGGGTTATAAATAATAACTTTGCTTTATTGAAAAAAAAGAGAGCAACTTGTTCAAAAAATTGAACTCGTAACAACTCAATGTAAATTTAAAAACAAAAAGTGAATCTAAATGAAACGAGGTAGAAATAAAATCTGAGGAAGTTGTAAATGATTGCTATTCAAGAATCAAGATAATAACACGAGGATAATGGAATAATAACATCAACTCTAGACATAGATGTTTCTGGATACTTCGTGCGATAATTTCAATACATTTTAGAATCGACTGTCGAGAAAATTCTACCAACGTGCAAGAAATGACTGGAATGTGTTTTTCAATTCAGAATTAAATAACTCATCCAAAGTAAACGTTTATTCAAATGAATGAAATGTTTTTTTTGTAATAATTATTCATAACCTTATCAGTTTCATAAGTCAAAAGAATACGGCTAATATAAAAGGTCTGCGCGAAAATTCTGAATATCTTTTAAAAAACTCTAATCAAGAGTTGGTTAGTATCTACGGAACAAGGGAATTGCAAAAATCTGCTTGGATACGGTAATAGGCAGGGCTTTATTGCTTGTTTTGTCGACAAATACATGCTTTATTTAAATTTCAAACGAAGCACTTAAGTATATTTGCATTACAACAGTTTGTCGCGCTCACGAAATGACGTTCATTGCAGAGGTCACGGAAAGATGGTCACGTGATCATGCGCTGTCAAATGTAAAGCGGAAAGTCGAATTGAAAACTAATTGTACTTTAGGTGACACTCAGAACAGGGCTAGGTCAAGGTATGACAGGTATTAGTCATCTATTCTGACTAGATCATCAAGTTTCTCTGCTTCTTAGACTACCCCAACACCAGCCATTCTTGTTCCCAGGGCCTATCTTCTTATTGCCTTTAGGAGCGACAGAACCAATGAGCTCTAACGAGTGCTTAAGGAAGAGAGATCCTGGGAACGAGTTTGGACTCGAGCTCAATTAGCTCCTCAATCAGGCCGCCCTTCAGTCTTTTTTACGAACAGATCGCTTGGAATGGACAACAATCCTTTGCAGTCGTAATCAATTTTGTCCAGTTATACTACTTTGTGCTTTCTTCACTGTTTTCCATCCAATTGCCTGCCCCTTTATACTCGTGTTCCTTTACATTTCTGAAATTTACTTGTTTGAAGAAGGGTGGCTATTATTGCAGGCAAAAGATGAAAAGCATGTTTTAGGAGGGAACACATCGGGCATTGTATTCGTGGGTCTTCACTAGTTCGGATCAGATTATGCTGGCATTATTTTGCGCATAATGCTATAGTCAGAGCATCGAGCATAAATGCCGGCAAATTGATGATGGGCTTCTGATTAAACTTCTTAAAAATTCCCCTGATGTTAAAGTTCAACAAGAGATAAATTCTGTACCCTGAATACTGTCAATAGCTAGCCTGCTTTTCCTGCTTGCACTTTAAGAATAAAGAATTTCTCCATGCTTAGCGTACGTATATCGAGTTATGAATTCACGCGAGAAGTTTGGAGAGCACGGGAGAAGCGTAAGAGTTGTACGGGGCTGGGCCCCGGGCAACTCTAGCTTCTTGCGTGCTCTCAAAACCTCCCCATGTGCATCCATAACTTGATATACGGACAGTTAAAGCATGAACCTATTATTTTATAACATAACATGCAGACACAAGTTGTGCTTGAAAAAAAAAAGGTTTATTACACCTTTTTCGGGTTGATCAAGTGATAGTGTTCTACCCGAAAACCATGAATAAATGACAGAGCAAAAACGACCAAGAAATATTTCGAGACCAAATCTTTATTCAAAGAATTGTAAATTTTCTGTTTAGAAGCGAAAAACGAACGAGTTTGTTGCATGTACTGCGTAGTAGTGTCATACATGTTGTATTGGGTTTATATTTTACGTTTTAAAGGGCCAAACTGAAACGCCTTACCCCCATCAGACCAAATCTCTGGTTCACGGGCTGCTCTCTAGTAGCCTTCGTGTCGTCGTACCCTCTCCCCCCACCCCTATGGTGAAACGGAGGCGAGACAACCTTCCGTTTCACTTTGGGGGGAGTGTACGGCTCGCACGTAGATAGCTCTCGAGCAAGACGGTGGCAAAGGTGGGGGAAGGGGGGGGTCCAATCACACATCACGCTGAATTTTTCTATTAAGTCACGGATAATTTTTTTTAACCAATCACACGTTACGAAAAAAAGGAGTAAGTAAGCTAAGCTAATAATGTAAGTTTTCAACCCAACGGATGTATTATTAAAAATTATATTGCATCCAACGTTTTTGTTATCCTGGAATGAATTGCGTTTCACTTTTTTTAAAATTTTTATTGTAATTGATGTATTTTAACAGGGAAAAGCCACCTGGTGGATCTGTTTATAAACCATTATTATTATTATTATTATTGTCATATTGCTTTTTGCCGGTCAAATAAAGTCGACTTGTCGAAACTAAACGCTCCGAGTGCGTTTACTCGGGCTTCGTATCGCAATATCAAATCGTACTTTACAAGTATCGAACTTAGAAAAAGTCAAATTAAAGAATCAGGATATTTAACACAAGAGTCAAGCTTACGTATTTACTATTCAAGTTGGTTCGTTGAGTATCCTCTTCATCCAATAGCTTGTTGTTTTCCTCACCTTCGATGTTCACGAAGATTTTTTATTTTTCCAATTCAACATCTGAGGTGTTCGTCTGGGCATCATAGTCATCATTTAACAATTGGTTCATATGTCAGCGTGCGTTCATCGAGATACGAAGCACGCGAGAAGTTTGGAGAGCGCGAAAGATGCGTAAGAGTTAACTATAGCTGTAACTGTAACTATAGCTTCTTGAGTGCTCTCCAAACTTCCCAAGTGCTTCATATCTCGATGAACGCACAGCTGACGTATGAACCAATTGTTTTATAACATTTTCAACCCGAAGGAAAACTTTTTTCTTGAGGGATTTGTTTGCTGACGTCATGAGCGTGCACAATAGGAATATGAAGCACGCTCGCGCAATTGAATTTGATTACACAAATTTACTAGCTATGTTATAAAGGTTGTTGTTTAATAAGTCAGTAGTCGTAGTTTTGACAATGTTTTCGTAGTTTGAACTCATACATGACCCATTAGTTATCTCGTGAGAACTGTTAAGAACTTTGCTAATTTGGCTATCTTTCAATATTTGCGGCCACTCGTGGCTCCAAGAGGCTTGCGTACGAATTGAGTAGACGTCTACGTCATCTTAACTATTTTTTGAGATACGGGCAATATTTATGTCAAAGCTTTGCCCAATCTCCTTCTGTACGGCAACTATCTTTATGTCAGGAAAGGATATAACGTGGTTTTTGAATTCGTTTAGGTCTTTGTTTACGTCTAATTTGGCTATCTTTCAATTTGCGGCCACTCGTGGCTCCAAGAGGCTTGCGTACGAATTGAATAGACGTCTACGTCACCTTAACTATTTTTGATACACACGCAGTATTTGTGTTACGCGCTTGTAAAATAGCAAACACGTATCACGTACGTTGTGAGGACACCGATAATTTGGGTTCGATCACGCGTCACCCTGCGAGTTGTGTGGCCGTCACGCGTGTGCCATCAGTAGTTGTTGACAGTTGGTAGTTGTTCGGATAGAAGACACGCTCGATTACTGTTAGAAGCACTTGTGTGATTCCTAAATGACAAATGAATAATGGGAATTATACAACAAACTAAATACCTCGTTCTGAAAAATGTCCACATCAAAAAACGGAACAAGCGGGAAACTTTGCAAGAGATACTCATCCCAATTTGGTGGATTGTGCTGTTGGTGATCATAAGAAGAACCATCCCGACGGAGCTAAAACCAGCTGTAGGAGAAAATGAAATACCCACAGCGAACATTTCCAGCATGGGACTGGCTGGATCGCCGGGACATGCGAGCTCCAAGCCAAATATCGGCTACGTTACCAACAATCTCGCAAGTGCCGGTCCGGTTATGGAGATAGTTAGAAACGCCTCGAAGGACGGTGCGAATTATCTTGAGTTTAACAGTACAGACAGTTTGCTAGCCTTTTACAAGGAGCACACCAACCTTCTTGTGGGGATCGAATTCGAAAAAGGTAAAGAGAAAGGACTTGCTTACACACTTCGCGTCCCGGTAGGACTCCCTTCACCAAAGAACAAACTTGTCGGTGAGTGCAGCTACATACATGTATATGCTCAAATGCATTATTTTCATTGATTATCTACGAGATCAACCGCTTATATTAGGAGCGGAATATTTTAAGAGGTGTGGTTCTAAAACCAGTATGACAGGGTGACATTTGTATTCAAATCTAAACTCCATGACCTGAAACATTGACCCACCACCTGAAATGTGAACTAGTCAGCTCAGCAGGTGGAACTATCAGGCAGAATGTTGCTTTCTTGTTCGTTCGAAATTAACCTGTATTGTTACATAAGCAATTTTACATCGATATTTTGATTTCAAATTTCCCTTTTCTCCAAACCTCTTAAGTAAAGAATCAAGGACGTGAAAATTTCACATTGTATACCCTCTTTAGAGGCCATGGCCCTGAAAACGATTGGTTGTTTAGTATCTCATACCCATCCAGACTAGGAAAAGATAGTATCCTCCCCCCATGAAATGTTCCTACTTCAAGCATACATCTCATGAGATTATTTTGACATGATTGGGTGAAAAATTGTGTCAGCCTAAATTAATATGTGGGGTGGGTGGGGTAGGATATCATTCTTGTGTCGAGCGTTGTGACTTGAAAATGTATTAACACAAATATTCAATTTTTTTACTATTTTCCTTCTTTTAGGTCTAGGTGAATGTCATGATGTCGACAGTTTGTTTTCGGGCGGCTGCCCTGCCAATTCTTATATTGTAATGAAAATAGCAACCCTGCAAACAATAATTGATGCTGCTATTACAAAGGTAATTGTTGGTGATATATAATTTTTCCTTGGACGGACCCAGGAATTAGTGAGGGGAGGAGGGGTTTCCAAAAAAGGAGGCATACCTCTGCCAAGGTCAGGAGGCATGCCCCTGCCAAGAATGTTGAATGAAAGGTCTTGAAAAAAGTTATTTCCAGTGTTTTAAGGGATAATTGTAAAAATAAAAACAAATAAACAAACAATGAATTGCACGTTTTATATGATTTTCAGTTCAGTGTCAGGGGTTCAACCAAACTACCTGGATCACCTCTGGATCTGCCTTAGTGTTTTTTTTATACGTAGCTTGTATTTCAGTTTACTTAAAGTTGTCAATAATCTTTCAACATTGTGTGGGAAAATGGGATGGTAAGCAGACTGATTATAGAATATAAAAATCACTTGTGTTTTTTTTCATAATGCAATACTTGTCTAATTTAAGTATCAGCCATA